CTCACTATAGAGACGGAATAATTAGAAGCGCCCCCCCCCCTCCCAATCTCTTACGTTCAAGGAGCAGACGACCGGTTGCCTACCTACTAAGCGGACCCTCATTCGGCATAGTTTTATTCTATATTTTTTGTGTCTTCTATAAATTTAATGCACTTCGCTCAGCTACCCCGTGCACAATGTTAACGCACGGGGCCCTACGTAAATATTGGGTCGTGACGGAAACCAAAGAGCAAGCAAGCGAAACAAAAGTGCTATTATCGAACAATCACGCCATAGACGCGCAGTCTACACGGGATGCGGCAGGTGACAGGCGGGATCGCCCGGACGCACACGCCTAGCTGGAACCACTGGAACTTCCCCGCGCGCGACGCGACGGGCGCGGCGGCAGCAGGAAGAGGCCAGTCACCGGACGGTCATTGTTTCACGTCGGCAGCCAAACAACGCCGGGACCGGGCAGCAGCATCCACAGCAACAACAACTACCACCACGACGACGAGGACGAGGACGTTTTGGCGCCACGCAACAATACGCGGCGCCGCGCGGCTCTCACTTTGAGCGATATGTCAGCAGCAGCGTGCCTGCGGTTGACGTCGACAGCCAGCGGGCAGAGCGGCGCGGCGGCGGCGCGCGTGTGGTTCCGCTGACATAAGCGTCGCGTTCTCGATCAGTGCGCCGCGTGTCCGTGTCCGAGACCCGTGTTGCTGCTGGCTGATCACTTCACCGCGGCTCCTGTCTCCTCCGCGCGCGGAGACGAGACAAGAGTGTGAGCAACGGGGGCACACACGCGCACGTGTTGTACATTTGTGCGTGTGTGTGTGCGTGCGTGGTTGTGTGTGTGCATGTCTGTGCGCTTACGCAATGCCCCTGCGCTGTGCCGCACGCCACTCCGCACCGACTCAATAACCACTCGCGAGACGAACTACTGAAGTGCAAGATGCACGGCGGCGGCGGGCGGCGCGGCGCGGGGCGGGTGGTTCGACTCGACAATGCCGTGCTGCCGAGTGCAGCCATTACAAGAAGCGGAGGCGGCACCGCTTGGCTTGTCACGCCAGCCGGCAGAGGACACGCTCGCCATCTGGCCTCCGGGGATGACGATCATGATGATGATGATGGTAATGAAGAGAGAGAACAAACACACTGCCGCAGTTTAGTGGCCCGCGCCGGCCCCCGTCGGTCGGGCCCTACCCGACCCGACAACTCTTCATCTCTACCTCTATCCTTTTCCGCTGCGCGGCGCTGGTCCGAGAAAGTTGCGGTCTCCAATGCTTACTACTTGACGTGGTCAGTCTCCAAGTCAATCCGAACCGCCGCGCCCGGCTGCGCAGCACGTACCGTTTATTCTGCTGCGGTCCCCGCGGTATGGTCAGCCCGGAGGAGGGCGTAGAGCAGCAGGGCGTCCCCGAGCAAGACCACAACCGTCGTGGGGACGAGGAGCGGTGTGGCGTGGTCGTCGCTGTAAACAGTCTGCAGGAGCATGGGACGGCCGTGGTTGGTTGGTCTTCCCCCGGAGCGCGCGCGCGCGGCTACCGACTACCGACTGCCGCCCGGAGGCCAGGCAACCCAGCCTGCGCGGGCGCTGCACAACCGGCGCACCTCACAGGCGTTGCGGTGCGCGCGAGTCGACTCGAGGAGTCCCTTGCTATATTCACTTAAGGCTCCGATATGGGAAAGCGTATGGGAGAGCGTAGGCGTAAGCGTAAAAGCGTAGCGCTCGGGTAGTGACCTAACCTTACATCGGCACAAATTTTGTATGACATCTTCTTTAAAATAGTAATATTATGGCCGCAGCGGACTCCGAATGCATGACAACACCAGAAAATGCTTTTCAACACTCGTCAAAACCGAAAATGAGCCAAGATGAGGTTAGGGCGCGTACCCCCACTCCGCTCATTTACGCCCAGCCACTACTATTTACGCTTACGCTTTACGCTCTCCCATACGCTTTCCCATATCGAAGCCTTAAGTGAATATAGCACCTGTTTTGTGACAACACATTGGAGAACACAGTCGTCATGGAAAGCGTACTAGACTAAAGAACACAACTTCTCGGACACGAAGTGTACCACTGCCGAACTCAGGAACCTCGAGGTTACAAATTCAAAGGCGGCAATGGCTTCGGTACCCAGAGCCTTGTGGGTAGGCATCCCTTTCGACGCGTATTCCCGCAATTCGCCTGAATTAAACCTGATTTACGTCACCAACGTCATAAAGTCGTTGATTAAAATTCACATGGGGAAGGGGATTTTCTTTTTCGACCAGATAGTGCGAGCTGACAGCCGCACATGACATACCGTCAACAACGGGGACTTCGAGCATGAAACATGACTCTCAATTGAAACAAGGTATTTTCTCTTCGCATGTATTGACGTGATGTGGTCCTAGGCCCGGGACTAAGAGGCCAGCCTGTAGCCCGTGATTTCGTTAACGTATGCCCTCATCTCCGGGTGGCGCAGGTCGGTGTACAGGCCGGCGAAGTCCTTGCTCGCGCAGCCTATGCCGGAGGACACGATACCCACGAGCCGCTGACTGCCCTCCTCCGTGTAGTACACGAGCGGGCCGCCGCTGTCCCCCTAAGGGGAGGAACAAGAGGGACGGAGTTTAGAGGGATTGGGATGGTTTTGTGTCTCGCCTTGGGGCACGCCGGCACGCCCCGCCCCCACGGACTGACCTGACAGGCGTCCTTCTTGTCGGCCGCCGCGCACATGAGGGTGTCGGGGAGCACCCAGCTCGCCTCCATGTATTTGTTCCTGCAGTGCGCGATGTCGTTGACGAACACCCTCACCTTCTGAAGGATGGGCGTCTGGTATTGGGAGTTTTCCTGAGCAAGAAAGATGGAAAAGATCTCGTCAACGACCACGTCGAGCCCCCTTGCCTCTGACCGGTGCACAAAAAGGCGCGCGTACCTTGAGCAGCCCCCAGCCCGTGACCACGACGGACTCGGTCGGGTAGGGCGCGCCGCCGGCGTCGATCAGCTGGATGGGGTGGACCGCCGAGTTGAAGCTGAGCTGCGGCCACACCCTCAGGAGCGCGATGTCGTGTGTGTAGGTGTGCACGTCGAACTTTGGGTGCACGTGCATCTCCACGATCTGCGTCGTCTGGCCCCTGTTCCTCCTCTCGGTCGAGATGATGGACGTGCCCGCCAGGATCTCGTGCTGCGGGCCCGGCGACGACCTGGTCGGGCAGAGAGGTGCGGGAGGGTTGAGGCGCCCGCTCCACGGCTGCCGCGACGGGGGGCCGGGGACCACAAGCACGCGTGCGTACGCACACACTGGGACTGGGGTTACCCGCTGACGCAGTGAGCGGCGGTGAGGATGTAGTCGGCCGTCAGGATGGAGCCCCCGCACCGGTGGAAGCCCTCGTAGAGCCAGCTCACCTGCGAACCACCATCACCACGCCGGGTCAGCTCAAGGAGGACCGCCACGGGCAAGCCTCCGTGGCCACCGCCGCCGTGTACCTGGTGTCCGAAGTCCCGGATGTCGGCCGCTGTACCGCCGACGATTTGCTGGACCTTATGGGGCATGACGAAGCCCTGGGGCTGCTGGCCGGCGGTCGAGGACGCCGTCGCATGGTTCCCTGCCCGTGCGTTCGACCAGAGGAGGGCGTAGATGAGCGCCCCGGGGAGCGCCCCGGAGAATGCCGACGGCGCCCTCCTGCCGTGTACCTTCACGCCGAGGCGCTGCATGGCCGCCACTGCCTCGCCGGCCATGGCGCTCCTTATCGCTGCTGCCCCTACCACTACCTGGCCCCGCGGCCGCGGCCCGGCGGCAGCCCAGCCGCCACAGTCAAGTGGCTGAACCTCGCCCCTACCGCCCGTGAGCTTGTATAGGGATTAATAAAACGCCTAGGCTACAAATGCGGCTTGTTTTTTTCTTTATTATTTTAAAAAGTGAAAAATATATCAACCTGACCCTAAGCGCTGCGCGGCCGGCGGCTTACGACGCGGACGTTGCACCCGCCCGCGGGCGACATGGAGATGCCGGCCACCAGCTTTATGTCCCGCAGGGTGCGCGGGCCGTCGGACGAGGGCAGCACCTGGAACCGCCGGAGGATGCTGGACGAGAGGATCTTGGCGGACATCATGGCGTAGCGCTGGCCGATGCAGTTCCTGGAGCCGGCGCTGTGGGGCGGAGGGGAGGGGTGCTTTCGTTAGGGCGTGCAGTGGGTGGTATTTAGTATGGCTTCCATTGAGGTGGGAGTGTGGAAATGAGTGCACCTTGCCAAGTCAGGACAGGGCCGACTCACCTGAATGGGATGTAGGCGTACGGGTGTCGGCCGCGGCTGTTTTCCGGAAGGAAACGCGATGGATCAAACGTCTCCGGGTCCGGGAAGTGCCGGGGGTCCCTGGGCAGGTGCAAGTGTTCGTTAGCCCTTTGATGACGACCATACTGCGGGTGCGCGCGGGCGCGTTCGACACCAACCTGTGCGTGAAGTAGGGCAGCCCCGCCACGATGCAGCCTTCGGGGAGGACGTGCCCGGAGGGCAGCTCCACGTCCTGCAGAACGGTGCGCGAGAACGTGAAGACGGGCGGGAACATCCTCATGGTCTCCTTGATGGCGCAGTCCAGGTACTGCAGGTGCGGCAGATCGTGCGGCTCCACGGGCCGCTCCGAGCCGCCGAAGACGTCCTCCAGCTCCTGCGACAAGAGAGCGAGTGGAAGGAACGCTAAGAGCAGCGGGGCGCCGGCGGGGGTGGGCCTCCCGCCCGACAGACGTGCGCCGCGGCTGCCTACCGCTGCACCGCAGGCGCCCGGGCAGGCGACACTCACTCCCTTACCTTGAAGATCCGGTCCTGGACGTCGGGCAGCAGCGCGTTGACGAGGAGGAAGAAGGACATGAAGTCCGTGGACGTGCCGACGGCCGCCCCGCTGATGGTCTTTAGCTCCTCGGTCAGCTCGCGGGGCGCAAGGACCTGTCCCTCGGGGGACGTGAGGACGTGGTCCAGGAAGGCCTTCCGACGCCTCCCTCCGCCGTGTGCTGTGTAGGCATCGCCCTGCCGTAGCTGATCGACCTTGTACGCGAGCATCTTAGACACGAAGGCCTCGAAGGCCTGCGCCGCGCGAGTGTACTCGGCGTGCTGGCTGGAGAAGAAGAAGACCGCGTCCCAGGAGAGCCATGGCTTCATGACGCGGCTCAGCATCAGCCGCGAGGCTTCCAGGAGGTACTTGACGAAGTGGTCCTTTGACTCGCCGAGAATCGGCGGGGCCTCAGCTGAGAACACCGTCTCGCAGATGGCATGCGCCGAGTAGCTGCCTAGCAGGGACACGGCGTTGAACTCCTCCCCGGTGGACGCTAACCAGCCCAACTGTTCGCAGAGCTTGAGCGCGTTCCGCTCGAAGGCCGGGACGAACTCTTGCAGGATCTCGAGGTGCAACGAAGGGCCGATGGCCTTGCGGTGGCGCCGGTGGGTGTCGCCGCTCAGGGTGACGAGCCCCTCACCCAGGATGGGGGACATGGATCCGTACACGATGGCCGGCTTGTGCTGCAGGTAGGGGCTGTTGAACACCACCTAGCAGAAGCAGGAAAGCCAGACGGCTCACGGACAACATACACATACGGTACTGTAACTCGCACCCTCTTGTGAACGCATCAGCTTCAGCGGCAACGCTTGCTCACCTCCAGGTCCTCGGGCTCGCAGACGGTGACGTTGACGGCGGGCCACGCCCACACCCGCACCGTGTTCCCGTACCTCTGCTGCGCCACTCGGGACTTGTCGACGACCTCGCCGAGAGGGCCGGCGAAGTAGAGGACGCCGTTGGAGGGGCCCGGGATGGTCCGCGCCATCCAGAACATGCGGAGCCAGCGGGCCGCGTGGCGCCACGCGAGCGCCACCGCCACCGCGGCCGCCGCCAGCAGCAGGGTGAGCATGGCGTCGTCAGAGAGCGGAGGCGAGTGTCTGCAGCCCCATTCCGCTGCGACGGCGTCCCGACCGACCTGCGAATGTGCCCCGAGCAGATGCGCGACAGCTTCTGTCCTCCCGTTGCCGATTTCGCGAGCGCTCGCTGCGCACTCGACAACTTTGTCGAACCGGGCTCATAAGCATGTGTCGCACCGCGAATCACATCCATACTTTTGTAAAGCAAAGCGGCTAGAAAAAGTCGCGCGGTGCAAATTGCACAGCGGCAGCCCAACGGTGGATCCTGCCTTACTCTCCTGGTCCCGCCGCCCCGCACGGATGTGTCAAGCGCAAGTCAGGGTCGCGTGGTATGCCGGAAGTGGGGTGACACTTGTTGTCAAAGCTAACACCCAAGAAAACAAAAAAAAAGTGCTCGACCAAAAACAGCAGATTTTATGTTATGATCAAAACCAGTGTCATAAAAGCTTCCCACGGGGACGGCGCCAGTCATCCACATGACTGAGGTCTCGAGGTGTTAATACTCCTAATACTTCGAAAACAAATGATTTTTATACTCCTCTTGTCCATTGTCTGCGCCGGTGCGAGTTGTGGGGACCACAAAACACCGGGTGAATGGCACCCTGCTTGAAAGGTGAGTGTGGTGTGCGCGGTTGCGCGTACTGGCTCACCGGGCTTCCCCAGTCCAGCCCGGTTTAGTTGGTTTATAATGTGTATTTTATGAAGAAGTTCAGGACGAAGACGACCACAAACTTACGTCAGAACAATGCAGTAGAATAAAAATAAAAATGTATTTAATTGTATGGTGGCACATTTGTCGTTAGTCTAAAAATTTCACAACAAACAATTCAAAATACTTCGGAAGCCCCAGATCGTGAGGGTTCTAGTTTTCAGTCGTGATGTACGTACATACCTAAAAGCAATCAGTCATACACTAAAATTCGTTGCAGCCGGAAGACGGCTGCAACCTGAAGTTCACATTACCTAATCATTTGCTGACGGTCCCGTGTCTCGCGTCTAACCCAAACACTACTTATCGTAGAACCCACCCAAGCACAGCGCCTTCTGGCCCCGCATTCTGGGCGGGAAAGTCCTTTTTATCTCATGAATGAACCGGGCCAGATCCAGCCACGCGAGGTTGTTAACTCTAGAGTGCGGGTGTCAAAATCTGTCTCCCCCTCACTTACTCAAACCCTCCCTAGCCGGCGTGTCTGCACGAGACTAAGAACGGCGCCTGTCTGAGAGAGATCCTCGGCGCAAACACCGAGAGAGCAGAGGTTGTGGCGGGTTGTGGTTGAGGCTGGGCCTTAGCTTTAGATATCCAGTTTCTATAGGACCATAAAACACGTGGCGTAATATCACAGGACTTATCACCGTTTGGCGCGCGGCGCCGGCAACATTGTGCTGTGCACTCACTATCCGAGTCACTCTGCGTGTCGCTGCCCCTAAGACATTTAATACCTTTGGCAATTAAATGCGGTTTGGCAACGAGGCGCTCGGCTGCCGCTGCGCGTGCCCCATTCTCAAGTCGCGGCTACCCTAGCGGCCCAGCGACCCCAAGGTGGTTGCAGATCGCAGTGCTCCCCTGGAGACTGGAGGCGACCGCTACTGGGTTCGCGTGGAGTCGCCCAACGGGGTCGCTTGGTCGCCCCTCCGGGGTAACTTTGCCAAAGAGCAAAGCCGTCAATAGCTTGTTGCCCGTCGGGCAGCACGAGTCGACAGAGGGAGGCGAGACTGCCGCGGTGACTCAGCGCGCGGGGTTTCGAATAACCACCCCGAGGGTGCCTCTAAGGGCTGGGCTGTGCTTCGGGCTTGTACACCGCCTCGTACAGCGCGGCGTACACGCCGGACACGGCCGTGAACACGGAGACGGCGATGAGCGCGCCGTTCTTGCCGGCGAGGCCGAAGCGCGTGGCGCGGTCGCTCGTCTCCCAGTCGACGACCAGCTCGATGGCGGCGGGCACGAAGATGCCGAGCGCCGAGAAGAAGATGGCGCCTACGAGGGAGATGATGAGGTCGAGGTCGGGGATGGCCACTGCCAGGACCATGCAGCAGATGATGAGGACGGCGCGGGTCACGCCCTCCCCGAGGCGGTGGCGGGCCGGCGTCACGTACGGCGAGATGTAGCTCCAGAGGATCTCGGCGCACACGAAGTACTGCACGGGCACGGTGAACAGGATGGCCACGCCGATCAGCACCTTGACGACCTGCGCCGGGCTGGAGAAGGGCTGAGTGTTAAACAACTTTCCTTCCAGTGCAGTACAAGGTCTGCTCTCGGGGAAGCAGGGCTTACATTTCTTCTGTAGGCAAGCTGAGGGCAATGTTTCCTAGGGTGTTATCACCGAACTTGAGATAGCCCAGGAAGCCGACGCAGGCGAAGAGGGCGACGATGCACGTCATGGCCAGGGTCATGACCCCTGTCCAGCCCGTCATCTTGCGAGGGTTTTTCATCGTATTTTCAATCGGCATCACCTAGGGATCCAGAAAGATAAAACGCACGTTTATTTTGCTGGGCTGTGCGCATCATGTCGACTTTCATGATTGAGAAGTCCCCTTGTCCCTTACCGATCCAATGCCCTCCATGGCGAAGAGTGCCGTGGAGAAGAAGATGGGCATGCCCTGGATATCCTTGACGCCGAATCGTCTCGACTCGGGGTCGGGCAGCTCGTGGAAGATGTAGTACACGGTGATGCCTAACCCCGCCACGATGCACGAGTTGGCGATGAAGGAGCATGGCACGAGATGCTTGAGCAGCCGGAGCTGGCACATGGGGATCAGCGGCACCATCAGCGCCACGATGTAGATGCGCTGGTCCAGGATGTCCTTGTGGGAGTGCTGCTCCACCATCTATACAGAGAAAATGCACCAAGTCCATTACAAGCGGCATAGCTTCTGTCTGTTGTGTCTGCGCGCCTGGAGGGTAGGCAGCCCAACGCACAGCAGCCGCGTAGGCGCGCGAGGCGAGCTAGAGTCGACTTGTGAATTGCGGCTCTTGGTTTCACTTTGCGACTTTGTAAACGCTAGCCCACTACCCCACTGTACATGGGCGCTCATGCCAAGTCGTCCTAAAATAACGATTTGGAGAGCAAATTTAAATCGCCAAGGAGCTTATTTTACCTGCTGAACTGACGAGCCGATGGCGACGATATACGCTGACATAGACATGGCGTAGCAGAAGAACAGGGAGAGCTTGACAAAATTCCTGCAAGAGCAGAAACACACGTGAAAAATGTTAGGAATCAAGGAAATATTTCGTCATGGGCCGACTTTTTTTTACGTCCTTGGTGGAGACGGGTCACAAGTAGCGGCGGCAGAGCTACCGGGCCGAAGGCGATCTAATTATACTGAGCAAAAGTAGAGCTGCCAACAACGGGCTACAACCCCCCTAGGTCTGTGAACCGTAGGGCTGTCGGTATCTGGGAAAGTCAAAGGGACCCCGATGACACGTGAGTGAGTCGACAGCGCATAATCGCAGTTAATCCAGGGGAGACATGCAGAGTCGCCATACGGCGAGATGACGTCGTGTTGCGTTGCAATGGAACATCAAAACAAGTACGGAGAAGACCGCCTCGTAAAACTACGAGTATCTTGTTGAACGGTTAGAAAGAAAGCTCTAGCTTGCGACGCCGCTGCCCCGCCGCTCGGCCGGCGGGGGTTGGGTTAGGTTGTGGTGTGGTCACGTGAGGCTCGCATCCCCTCAGTGCTGACCTGGCGAACGTCGCGAGCGGCCGCAGCCTCTTGGGCCCGTTGGCGAAGGCGGCCTCGGCCGTCTCGCCCATGCCGAGGGTGGGGATCCTCAGGCGGAAGTACAGCGTCTGCGCCGAGCGCACCAGGATCACCATGCAGTGCGTGCACACGATGCCGGTGACGATGGTGCCCACCACGCCGAGGATGAGGCCGCTGTGCGAGAAGGCCATGGGCATGGCCATGATGCCCGAGCCGAGGCCGCCCTTGAGCAGGTGGAAGAAGGCGCCCAGGTTCCTGTTGGACAAGTTGGGAGGCGCTGGTGAGTGGGGGTGAGTGGCGTGGCGGCAGGTGAGGCCCGGGCGAGGAGGGGCGCGTCTCCTCGCGTGCACCTCGCGCGGGGCCTCACCACCGGCAGCAGCGTGCTTGGTCCTTCCCAACCCCGCAGAAGGACGCCCACTCACTCACTCGCCACCCTGGCAACAAACTTGTTGCCGGTGGACGCGCCAAAAAATAAAATAAAAAATGTGCTCAACTGGGAAGCCAAACCAGAATAAAAAGGCATACATCACTGGCTCGTGAGTTTACCGTCGCGTCGCCGCGCGCGCGTCTCCTTTCCTTTGCCAGGATGCGCTCGAGAGAGACGAAACCCACCGCAAACGGAGCGAATAATATGGCATCTTTGGGGTGCCGTAAACAAGCGCTCAGACAATTTTTACGAAATTAATTTAATTTTCTGGGGGTTTAGTAAAGACAAATAAAAAGCACGTGGAATAGTCGTGAAGTTGTAAATTGTCCCGCTTATCGCCGCCATCACGCAAAGCTTGGTGATGGAAGGCGTGACGGCGCCTGACAGCACGTGCTCGCGCCCATCAAATCATGATTCACGATCAAATTTACAAGGGTCGCTGTCTGGTGACAAGATTGTCTCAAGAGGAAGTCGGAGGTTTTACAACCCCGACGAGGCCACTCGACTGAACGCGCGGAAAAAATACTCACGAGTACTGCCGGCTGACCTCTCGCTCGCTGAACGGATCGTAGTCGTCCTTCTCCGTCTCCGACCGAGCCTTCTCGCAAGTTCTGAATTTTTACAACAAAAAGAAAGAGAAATTATGAGAAGAGTGGCGAGAGATTAAATGTCAGCTATGCCATTGATGTGAGACCAATAATACAATACAGAGAGGGTGTTCTAAGCTCGGTTCTAAGCAACGTTTTGTTCTGGTTATACTGTACCGCATGCAGGCGTGCGGGCGGGCTTGCCTATCGACTCTCACCACGGCGCCTTATGGCCCAAAGCGAGTATGCAACCCGTCCGCACGCCAGCATGCGGTACAGTAACCACAAACAATCGCGGCTTAGGACTCCTACCCTGTACAATGAAGTGTAGTGGACAGGACGCCAGTCACGCGACCAGATAAGTTAGTAAATTCAACAATGTACCACAGATGCCGGCTACGTCAGCAGCGGACAACAAGGGGGGAAAAAATGGTGCGATAACAACGTCGAGTGCATCCCATGGAGTAATCCTTCCATACTGTACACGAACATTGCACCCCTGTAACGCAAGCGTACATGCAGATAACCAATCACCTTCACTCTTTCCTGCAAGTCAACTTTTTTTTCTTTTTCGGAAAAGGTGCGACAACGTTCGTTACACTGTGTCCAATTACATTATTGGGCGAACGGTTTGTGGGCATGGGCAGCATGGGCAATCCCCCGCAAATAGAGGCCGTTGAACGTTGGTGACCGGCGCCGCGTCGTGGCGCAGCCGCAGCGGCCTTGACCAATTCAATGGGGGGCTCCAGTCAGTACAGTGCAGGTGGCCGCGCTGGCCACGCTAGCCGCGCGCGCACCCGTCAAGTGACGACCCATTTCATTCTGCTGGCCCTGCCCTGCTCAAGCACTCTCGAGTGCCGGCGGCCCGACGAGGGCCCATACTGGGCGGGCGGGGCGGCGCGCGGAGGACACGGTCGGTGACGCCGCTGGACCATTGGGACCAGCCAAGGCAGTCTGGTTGCTCCTGACGCGCACGTGTGACGGATGTGCTGCCCTGCCGATGCCCCCCCCCCCTCCCCATCACCTCCCCCCGATACTCCCAGCCCTGCTGCGATCCGGTGCGGCGGCGGCGGGAGCGATCCCCGCTCGCCAGGGTGGGTTAATTCAGTTGACCCAGATTTGTCGCGCCACGCATTACTTTGTAGTCCCTCCTGTCTGGTCTGCATGGCTGGCCTCGTTTTTTGTCCACCGAATATCAGCATCCTATTTTATTTTTATTTGACTGTTTTGTAGCTATGCTTCTATCACTTAGCAATTACTTAACGACTCTCCTGATCACAGGCGAGCGTTTCTTTCTCCCTCTCTCGCGCTCGCTGCTCGGATCGTTGCTCCTTGTCGCTTATCGCCGAGTCACTGGGCTCGTGCTGCCGCGCAGCCCGCGCGCTCCTAAAAGTACTGACCCTAATCAAAGCTGTCGCTAAAGATTGTGCGTCGATGTTGCAGGAGCGCGCATTCCCTAAAAAGATTGTTTGGGCTGGCCTCGACCATAGAGATTGCTGGAAAAAGACGCGATTGTTTTTATATAGTACCACACCAACCACACTCACACGGGTGGAAGGGTTGCCTAAAATGCCTACTCCCCGGGGCCATAAAATTTACAGCATACTCAATTTGAAAGGTACGTAGTGTGATATCATAACATGTAACATCAGCTGTCATCAATGTAAAATGGACGACAGTTCTCTGATCTTGATATCAGCTGTTATGATATCGATTATCAGAAGACTGGTGTATTCATTAAAATAATGTCACCTTACTGATATCACTGTTTAATGATGTCACTGTGATGATTCTGTCACCAATGTCAGCAACTATATCAGTTCAGTGATATCAGTACTTAGAGTGAAATTAGTACTTATATAGTGACATCACGAACTGATATTGAAATCCCATGACTGGCATCACTACAAAATACTGACATCATTATTGTGATGATCATATGACTTGAGACGCTAACCAGGGCAGAGATGACTTTGACCCTTATGACCCATGACCCTAGTCGGTGAGTAGACCCACCGTCATAGCCATGGCTACAAACTGCACCCGCACTATCTCATCGTCTTCGTCTTCACGCCCCAACATCCATATTCACCCCCATAATATCGATAATCACAGTAGGGCCTATGGGCGCCATCGCCATCCACCCTCGCGCCCTCTATAATATATAAACTGAAGTTCAATACCCAATAAAGGTATCATTCAGAAAATACGGCCGTCAATCACGTTATCAACCTGCTAAGTTCAGCCTCTGTACGCTCTCATGGCGCCTGGTAGGTAGGCAACATCTTGCGTGCAGAGCACCCGTGTACTGCGGGTTGGCCTACCCCGAGTCTCGCAGGCGCGAAGCTCATCGCGTTATGCCAAATATGAATCTGAGAAAAGCGGACGTACCCTCTGCACGATCCCTAGACCATTCCAAAACTGAAAAAAAATGACGGCCCTACCACCAGTCCTCTATAGGAAGTAATAAGCGGGGTTTCTCTGTCACTCTCGGTACTCTGACTACAGCACCAGTGCGGGTTGGCAACCCGCCCGCACTGCTGCATGCGGTACAGTCTACCCACCGCCCCTCACACATGCCCGGGCGAGTGGCGTGGCGTGCAGTAACCCGCCCGCGGGCGCCGCACCTTTGCAGTCGAGGTATGGGGGCATTCTTCCATCCATTATTGTTCGACTAATGAAAGGAAGAAAGACCAAATCTTGCTCAATCCATGCGTTCACACCGTGAGGGTTGCGGGCGTTGAAATGGCAGCGGGCTTGGTCCAACATCGGCGGGCTGTTGTAATTGGGCAAGCCGTCGGAAAGCGCCTGACAGCACGGCATAGTTTATGCTGACAGCTAACGACATCTACTCACCCGTTTCCGTTGCTGGCGCACTTGTTGGGGTCCATGACGAAACCCATGTTGATGGCACCGCGGGCGTCGTGGCCCCTCCCGTCCTCCACCTGTTGGAAATGCGAGACCACCTGTTTGAAAAAGCGCGGTAAAACTTCGTCGCGATATGAAAGATGGCGATTCTGTTTTTTATTGCACTCAAGTCGAGGGGGCCCTGCCCTGCAAGCGGGAGGGGGAATTCCCCGCCGAGGCCGGCCACCTCCAGACCAGCTCGGCGGGTGACTTACCGGGCGGGCAGCGCTCGCGCACATGTTGGTTGAACACCGGCGCCTATGACGCTCGCCGCGTGCTCCAGATACGTCAGCCTGGCAGCAGCCCGGGGGTCCGGGCCTCCAATCGCCCGCTCAGTCAGCGCCGTCCTGGAGAAGGAGGAGGAGGAGGACAACAAGCAAGTGATGAGCATCGGTTCGAGTCACGCACGAGGCCGCAGCGGCGCGCGTTTCCTTGTTGTGTTTGACGTCAGCCGGTCTTTCTGATAGAAGGTCATGGACGCATTCGGCAGTCTCCTTTGTCCAGCGGGCGAGACTAAAATTCTGCCCAAAGTAACACGGAATAGTTGTGATCACGACGACGGGCATCCATGAGTTTTATTGACGTTTCTAGGATGTAGATAAGGCTCACTATTTCGGTTGAAAAGTGTCAAAACCTACATTTGATTAAATAAACAATGACTTTTCATATGCCTTATTTGACCAGCGATCACGCTGCACTGACAGTCTCTATCGGAATATCAGTGATTTTGGTAATAACTTTGTTGTGTTGAGACCGCACTAAAGTAAGAGACGTGAATGGCCATGTCCATTGCGGCCGGTGCGGCGGCCGTGGCGCTTGCACACGGCGCATATAGTGCTTGCGGTCCGGCCATGCGCGCGCGCGCCCGGTGCGGCGGAGGGAAGTCCTTCACTGCACTGCACTTGCAATCCGGCCGGCCGCTCTCCGCCAGGCATTGTGTCTCTTGAGTCGCGCCACTCACCCTGGTGCAGGCTATGCAGGTCGCGGCGGTGGCCTTGTTCGCCTTGATGCTGGAGGGAGGTGACGTGAGGACGGCGCCGAGCGGCGGCCGTTGGCGGACTGCAGCTCGCGACCCTCGCGGCCGCGACACTCGGAGCAGGGTAGGCGGCGGGGAGACGCCGAGTGAGCTGGGCTCCGAGAGCGGGGCAGGAGGTGCGCAGGAGGTGCGGACGAGGACTGCGTCGCTCGGCCCGGCGACTGCTGGCGAGTACCTCGAGGGGCGCGCGCGCGGGCTCCGCGGCCTATGGTGGGCGGGCGGGA